GGGGTCCAATTTTGGACTATACATAACATAGTGATTTTTTTCAATTTATCGCTCTAACTTCCTTAGGAGGCGTTTCCGGACATAGTTCCATAGAAACTTTTTTTCTATCTTGACCTAAGGTATCACCCCCCAGAATCTTTTAATATTTTTTTCGGACACCCTATATAAAAGTTACTTCTCGAAATTAGGCCTTTCTCAAGTTGATATTCCTCCAACTCTATATCTTTTTTTTGAAGTAAATTAATTAACACATTTTGACGTTCCTCTAAGTGTTTCACTGTTTGAATCAACGGCATTGTAATTTCTTTAAAAAACTAAAAAAATATTTAAGCTTGTGTGTTTACACCAATCATCACATACGGTTTCTGATGTCGACTTTCGTAAATTAAATTTAAACTGTGTTATGTCTCCCGATTTTATTGAGTTTAAGAGCAGATGGAGCCCCTCATCAGTTTCTAATATTTCAATGTTAATGGGGTCAGAAATTTTATTAATGATCTCGATCACTTCACACACAACTTCATCTACTTTAATGTCAAACAAGGGGTTAGCTTCCTGGAATTTAAATAAAAATATATTGCTTAGACTTGCTTGTTACATACTTGAAACTGGTGCAAAAGTTCATGTTTTGAAATGTCTTGCACCCAAATATTTTGAAAATCAGTCAGGACGAGTCTGAGATTGTCAATTTCGACTATTTTGATCATGTACAAATTGGTCTCATATTGGAATGTTTTCCACATTTTTTTGTAGAATTTTTTTTTATAAATATTTACTGTTTTCGCAAGAACCTAACCTCACCTTTAGAAATATCAAGCCTACTTTTTTTTCACGTAACTATTCGTAGTTATTTTGACGAATAAAGCATTGGACCTACTCATCGAAATGCCAAGAGTTGTAAAATTTTAACAATCTCTTAGAATTCGGACACATATTTGCAAAAATAAGTTAAAAATTTCTTCAGTGATTAAATTTAGCATTGCATGTTCAGTAGCATAAAAACTCTTTTGTGTGGTAGTTGTTTTGTCCAAAAAAAAGATTTTTAGATCTACCCGAATGCAATTGTTTTAGAGAAGCACATATTTGCAAAAATAAGTTAAAGTCTTCTAGCAATAAACATTAAAATCATAAATTTGACAAACTTAATTTTACATTGCATGTGCAGTAATAAAAGAAATTTCTACAAATAATCTACTGTTAATGGTAGTTATTTTGTCAAAAAAATTTCTTTTGGCCTACTTAAAATTTTGGAGAAATTGATCAATTTTTCAGAAATAGGCCACACATATTTGCCCTTATATCTTTTAGTGCTGATTAAAAATGTAGCAAATTTAATTTTACATTGTATGTTCAGCCACAAAACTCAAATAAACTACTATTTTAATCATATAGTAGGCTTGTTTACTTTAGAAAGTCATAGAGAAAGTGGGGTTCAATTGTTCTAACAAGTTCTAACAGTTACAAAAACAATGTGGAAAACTTTTCAGCATGGGGCGAATTTGTACATGATTAAAGTTGTCCAAGATACCAACCTGCGACTTGTCTTAACTGATTTCCAAAACATATGGGTGCAAGAAATCTCCAAAGATGACCTTTTGCTACAATTTCAGGTATATCAACATGTCTGTAATATTTTTATGTTTTCTCTAAAATTCCAGGAAGCTAACCCTTTGTTTGATGTTAAAGTAGATGAAATTGTGACTGAAGTTACTGAGGCTATCAACAGCATTTCTGACCTCACTGATATTGAAATTTCGGAAGCTGATGAGGGGCTAAAACTGCTCCTAAACTCCATTAAATCAGAATATAAAATAAAGTTTAAGTTTAATTTTCACAAATCATCATCAGAAACTGTAGGTCTGATCATTGATGCCATTCAAATCAACAACTTTTATTTTTAGTTCTTAAAAGAAATTACAGTACCCTTAATTCAAACAGTGAAGCATTTAGAAGAACGTCAAAATATGTTAATGAATTTACTTCAAAAGAAAGATAGAGAGTTGGAGGAATATAAGCTTGAGAAAGGTGTCATTTCGAGAGGTAACTTCTTAACTGTAGTAACACAAATCATTTATTAACTTTACTTCAGATGATTTAATTACTGAAAAGTTTGATGAAGAGAAACTGAATAGTATTGATGATAAATCAATGATGGGTGTCTTTGGGCACAACGAAACGTTTTGGAACAGTTTCGTTAGCCAACATGGCAACATTGAGGCCACAATTGAAGAGTAAGTATACAGGCTGTTCCGGAAATAAGTACATTATTTTTAACCACAAACACGACATTTTTTAGAAAACGCAATAATTATTTAAAAACAAATAATTGATATAAATAATAAGTTTAATGTCTATTATTTCAACAATAAATAGTATATTATATCATAGTAGAGAAGAGATTCTCTAAAGCCGAACTGTTTATGCGTAGCATCGAGCGAGGCTATAAAAACATACAGGGTGAATATAAAGTATGGAACCAAGCGGTTTTAGTTTTAATCATTTGCCTCCAGAAAATAATAATTAATAATAATTAATTAAAGTAATATAAAAAATGTGATGGTATTTTCAGAACGAAATTTTGTTTTGTTTTTGAGTTATGCGATTTTTTTTGTCAAAATTGCAATTTATGTGAAAAAATTTTTTTGAAAAAAATAAATATAAAGCAGATAGTTGTAATCCTTAGAGTATAGCTTTTATGAGAAAAATAACCTTACTTAATGGGTATGTTGATGTAAAATGTAATTCACAACTATCATTTTTGTTATGTAATTTATTATTTCAGTAATTAATTACTTAGCTGAGTTAACTTAAGTTGGAAGTATTATTTTATTCTTATTTTAAAAGACGTTAACCATTTTTTTACTTCTGAATCTATTATTAATAGTATATTACATAACGAGTCCGGAAAAAGTGACAAATAACGCAAGGGTGGGGAGTCAGAAGCCCCACGAGTGCATTAGACACTTTCCACATAATTTTTCCTACGAAACTGAAGAAAAAATTTTAGTCTGTTTTTAGAATCAATAATATTGATATTGAGATAATTCATATAAATAATTAAGTTTAATGTTTATTATTTCAACAATAAATAGTATATTACATCACAGTAGAGAAATTTTCCATAGTCGAGCTGTTTATGCGTAGCATCGAGTGAGGCTATAAAAATCTTCTCTTCCGTGTGTTATATAACATTTTTTCACTACTTGTTGAAGAATATAACCTTACTTAATGTTGGCGTAATATGTCGTAATTTACAACTATTATTTTTGTTATGGAATTTATTATTACAGTGATTAATTACTTAGCTGAGTTTACTTAAGTTGGAAGTATTATTATTTTATTTTTATCGTAAAAGAGGTTAATTATTGTTTTACTTCTGCATCTATTAATAGTATATTACATAACGAGCGCGAAAAGTGACAAATAACGCACAGGTGGGGAGTCAGAAGTCCCACGAGTGCATTAGACATTTTTCATCGAGTTTTGTACATTATTTTTCCTACGAAACTGAAAAAAAATATTTTTTTAGTCAATTTTTAGAATTAATAAAATTAATGCTGAGATTATTAATTTGATAGTTATTCTCATAATATAGTATAAAAAAATTTGACAGATAAATTAAATTGTTATCTTTCGTGCCTAGGAAAAAGAATTTTCAAACTTCATGATATGAAATATTTTAATAAAATAACATAGAATCTGCAAAGAAAAGAAATTGTTAAAATGTGCTCCACTACCGGTAGTATTTCAACATGAAATGGACCAATTTTTTGTTTTGACAAAGATAGAAGAGTTAGAGGTGGGGTTATTCTGATGTTTTTGAATGAGGAAATTAAATTTTTTTATTCGATTTTTCATTAATTTTATTTCGAGATACTTTTGCATTGTTCTTGAGGAGATGTGTCACCGGTTAAAATTAATGTGCTTATTTCTGAGACGCGTTGTACAGTAAAAAAAGAAACGAAATATGTAATTCCAAAACTAAGACTGTTTTTTAATTTTTTTTCTCACATTTTCTTACATAAATTGTAATATTAAATAAAACTGATGATAATTTTAAAGTGGCAATTTTTGGTGACTCAGGAATTTTTCTCCGAGTGTTAAACTCCTGATGGATGTCCATGAAGTTGAAGATGTCATGTTACCCACCACTAAAGACCGAAAAACCCTAGATTTTAATTTATTGCCTGCAAAATCAAAAAAAATTTACGAACTAACTTATCGTCGATTTATGGATTATCGCAGGGAAAATAAAATATCATCGTTCTCAGAAAACGAATTATTAACGTACTTTATCCACTCATCGAAAAAATACAAATCTTCATCGTTGTGGTCAATCTATTCAATGTTAAAAACTACACTAAGTGAAAAATTTAACTTGAATATAGGAGAATACACCCAACTCCGGGCTTTTTTAAAACGCCAAGCCGATGGTTACAAACCGAAGAAAACAAAAGTTTTTAAAAAAGAACAAGTTCGAAAATTTTTATTGGAAGCCCCAGACTATAAGTATTTATCAACGAAAGTAAGAGGGTGACAGTTTCGCACCAAAGTATTTAATTTCAGTTTTAGGTTGTGTTAATTTTCGGGATTGCCGGTGCTTGTAGTTGCGATGATCTTCTTAATTTAAAAACTGGTCATGTTGAAGATGTGGGGAGTAAAATTTTAGTCAATTTACCCGCGACTGTGTCAAAGAAGTCGAGGTTTTTTGTAATATCCGAACATTTAAATATTGTCCGAAAATACACAAGCAATCGGCCGGTTCATTGTAAGTCGGATAGGTTCTTTTTCAGCTATTGGCATGGGAAACCACGTGCGCAGGTGATAGGTGTACATAGAATGGGTAGCATGCCGCGAGAAATTGCCACTTATTTAAAATTACCAAATCCTAAAGAGTACACAGGACATTGTTTTCGTAACACGTCCATTTTATTTGCGAAAGATTCGGAAAAGATTGATTCGAAAGAATATACAGGAAACTGTTTTCGCGATACGTCAATTTTATTTGCCAAAGTGTCGGAAAGGATTGCCAAGGAGCGTGATCCTCTCGCTGATTCGTTAGACTTCAAAGTTGAGATTAAGGAGCATTTTTGTTAAGATTTTTGTTGTATTGTATGTTTGTGATTGAATAAAGTTTTTTATTAAATTTGTGATTTTATTTTAACAGTTTTTTAAGCTACTAGTAAAACTTCTTTTTAATTTCAGTGTGAAGAAGGATCCGTGGAATGACATAAAACGTAAAAGAATAGTTTATTCCTCTAAAACCGTCACCAAAAAGGGTAAAGGCATTAACTACAACAATTAATTTATTATTAGTAACAACTGTATGTATTATGTGCTTATTACTGAGAGATTAAACCATGTTTGGCAAACTTGTTGACGTAGTTGGAGCTGCAGTCGTACCACCCACTTGTGACATCTAAACAACAGAAAAAAACATCTTTGAGAAAAATAATTTTTCCTTAAAATCACTTCCCCAAAAAAATGAAGGAACAAAAAAATTTCTAAATTTCTAAATTTCTAAATTTTTTTGATTTTTGGAAGGCCATATCTCAGTGAAAAAACCGTTTTCTCGGAACGATTGATTAAAGTTTTACAAAAGAATAAAAGGAACAAGTGTATTGTTTCTGAAAATTGTGTAGCTTTTATCAAAATTAGGAAAAAACGATTTTGATTCAACTTGTTTACAATATTGCTTTATAGTTGTTTGTTAAAATTGATCCATAACGTTTTTTACATTTCTAGAGGTCTTAAAGACTCAAAAAAGTGCATAAAACGTTATTGGGTCAAGTTTTAAAAATTATGATTTTTTTGAATTTTTGCATTTGTTAACAAATTTGATATAATATTTTGACCTAGACGTATGTAAAATGTTCCGGGGAATCGATTGGGGTCAAGAAAACTGCAAAATTCGTAATAGTTTTGAAGTTGTAGTCGAATTTATATTTTTGATATTTTTGACTATCAGAAATTTTCTCGATAACTATCTATCATAAAACACTGATCTTTTTGGTATATGATAGAAAATTAAATTTGATTTCCATCGGTACCAAATATAAGAGGTTATTACCAATAAGTCCGGAGTTATTGGCTACAGACCGCTCCGGGTGCCAAAAATCTTGGTCGATTTGAGAAAAATTCAAAAAATTTTTTACTTTAAAATTGATTCATTTAACGTTTTTTACATTTCTAGAGGTCTTAAAGACAAAAAAGTGCATAAAACGTTATTGAGTCAAGTTTAAAAAATTATGATTTTTTGGAATTTTTGAAAAAAAAATTGTCTTAAATTGCGGAAACAACCCCAAAAATTTTTGTTTTAAATCTGAATTACGCTATTTCGCGAGTTTTTGAGACAAAAAATGGTCATTTTACTCATCTATTTGCCTATTTGCGAGCCGTTTAGCACGTTTTTTGAGCCAGAAACCTGCTTAAATTAACAATTTGTGCCGAAACACGAGAAAAAAATTGTCGTTTTAAAAAAAAATTATTGAGCGATTTAGAACGTTTGGGCCACAATAAACTTGTTTAAGTTGACGGATTTTGAGTAACTTAGTTTTTATTATTATTACAAGTAAGCAGATCATTAATTTTTTCAACTTTGCCGAAACAAGACAAAAAATCGTTTTAAATCTAAATTTGCGAGTTTCTGATCCAAAAATTCTTAAATTGACGAATTTTACTGAAACAAGGAAAAACATCATCGTTTTTAATCTGCATTACGCTATTTCTGAACGGTTTCATATTTTTAAGACAGAAACTTAAGAAAATTTGATAATTTTCATGAAAAAAAGACGTCGGCGTTTCCTATTTTAGGTTTTTGCCGAAACAAAGTCAAAAATCGTGGTTTAAAATCCAAATGAAGCCAAAAGAATTTCCAAAAGATTCGCTGGTTTTTTGGGCCAAAAACTTACTTTTAAATCGACTAATGTTGTCAAAACAACGTAACAAATCGTCGTTTTAAATCTAAATTAGGCTATTTCTGAACGACTTAGCAAGTTTTTGAGTTAGAATTTTTTTTAAATTGACGAATTTTAATAAAAAAGATTCAGCCCTTTATGGATTTGTGGCCAATTTTTGAGCCAAAGACTGTCTTAAATTGCCAAAACAATTCCAAAAATTTTTGTTTTAAATCTGAATTACGCTATTTCTGAACGACTTAGCAAGTTTTTGAGCCAAAAAATAGTCATTTTACTCATCTATTTGCCTATTTGCGAGCGATTTAGCACGTTTTTTGGGCCACAATAAACTTGTTTAAGTTGACGGATTTTGAGTAACTTAGTTTTTATTATTATTACAAGTAAGCAGATCATTATTTTTTTCAACTAATGATGGTTTTAGTCGAACACTTAATTTGCATTTGCAAAATCGACCAAAATCTCGACAAAAATCCAAAAAAAATTTAACTTTAAAATTGATCCATTTAACATTTTTTTTTACATTTCTAGAGGTCTTAAAGACAAGAAGCGCATAAAACGTTATTATTGAGTCAAGTTTAAAAAATTATGATTTTTTGGAATTTTTGAAGGTGTGGTAAATCGTAAAAATAGTCAATTTACTTTAAGTCGTAAAAACGCTTGAAATGGTTTTCTAGACGTAAAATTACTCGCTGAACACGATGCAACAGGTTAAAATACTCTACGATGCATAGTTTTTGAGATATTGAGTAATAAAGTTAAGAATAAGGCTAGAAGCATAAGCACTATATCCGATTATGACCAAAAAATCAAAATTTTTTGATTCCCATGAAAATCTAGTACCTACTATTTGTAAAATTAACCGGAGAATGCGTCTTTGATCTAGGACTCATAGTTTTTGAGATGACTATTTTTGATGAAAAAATCAAGCCTTTCAAAAATCACCAATAAATTTAGGGTATTTTTGTTCCTTTAATTTTTTGGAATAGTACTTACTGGGTCTTTATTAATATCTTTATCGGTGAACTGTGTGATAGGAGGAGGCGCTGTAGTGTGCGCTAACATATACAGATTATTACATTTTATTTTTATGTCCCCCATATAAATGACATTTCCTGTTTTAATATTACTTTGAGACGCATAAAACCTACAAAATGCCACTTTATCAGTTTTATTTTAAATTTTTTAAGTCATTACGCCAGTATAGGGCGAGGAATCTTCACATATTGATCAAAACTCTGACCAAAATCTTTAATTATCATAGTTTGATCGTGTTGATTTTTGGTGAGAGGAAGAACAGAGTTGCCTTTTTGGGGCCCATTTCTGTACGTTTTATAAGAGGAGCCCCAAAACCACAGGACATTTCGACTATCGGCTGCTACAGTAAAGTTGAGTCCGCACGCAATCATCTAAAAAATTATTTAAATCACAAACAATTAAAAAGTGAAACAACAAACTGTGATTTTATTTTGTAATTTGATTGTTTGGGGTTTGGTACTTTCTGGGTTTCGGCCTAATGCAATTGCTACACCGTTTTCCGAGAGCAACATTATATGGTTTGGACCAATTGAGACGAATTTGATTTTTTCTCTTATTGGGACAGGAGTGAATAGAGTTATTTTTTCTTGGTCTGCAACTCCAAGTTTCCGGTAGTTGTTAAAACCACTCACTAGAATTTGGCCGTTGATTGTCAGTAAAACAGTTTCGTTTTCGCCACAAAACAAGTCTTTGATTTTCGTCAAATTGAGGAGTTTTATTGCAAGAGGAGAGCATCTGGAAATGAGTTATTTGGGTTGTGGTAGAATGAAAATTTTTGGTACCTGTATTGCATGTGACCTTGGCCAAGTTGCCCCTTTTTGGAGGAGCCCCAAGTGAAAACTTTGCCGTCTGTTGATAAGGCAACTACATGTTCGTCACCGCAGCTCATTTTTACAATTTTTTCTTGCTTTAGTGCCTCTGAAATGGTAATTATTATGAATTATGAACGAAAAAAAAGCAAAAAGATTCGATTTTTTGCTATTGATAATGTCTTTTGTAAAAAATTGATTTTTTTTGTTATTCTTAATACATAATGTTTTTTCCTTCTTCTGATCACTTTTTTTTAGTTTATTTTATATATAGTTTGGTTTTTGGAATTTTGATGAAATAACTAATAAAAAAAATCGTTGTTTCAATTCTGAATTACACTATTTCAGCCATTTATGAGCTTCAAAAACATTCTCAAATTGATGAATTTTGCCGAAACAAGTCCAAAAATCTCTATTTCTGACTAGAAACTTACTTAAATCGACCGAATATTGCCGAAATAAGGCAAAAAAACGTTGTTTTAAATTTAAATTAGCTAGTTTTTGGATTAAAAAGTCTAAAGTTGATAATTTTTTCTAAATAATGCAAAAAATCATCATTTTAAATCCAAATTACGCTATTACAGCCCTTTATGAGCTAAAAACTCTCTTAAATTGAAGAATTATACCGAAACAAGTCTTAACATCGTTGGTTTAAATTTAAATTATGCTATTTTTAAGCGATTTAGCACGTTTTTAAGCCAGAAACTTATTCAAATCGTCGAATTTTGATGAAACAAACGAGAAAATGGCCGCTTTATACCTGAATTAGGCTACTTCAGCCATTTATGAACATGTTTTCGAGTGAAAAACTCTTAAATTGACTAATTTTATAGAAACAAGAAAAAAACGTCTTTTTGAATTTGAGTTACGTTATTTTTGAACCAGAAATTCTTTTAAATTGATAGATTTTGCCGAAACAAGCTGAAAATTACGCATTTTGCTATTTCAGCAATTTTTGAGCGATTTAACAGTGCCAGAAACTTACTTAAATCGACGAATATTGCCGAAACAATGCAAAAAATCGTTGTTTTAAATCTAAATTTGAATGATTTAGCAATTTTTTGATACAAAAACCCTTAAATTGACGAATTTTACTGAAAAAAGGAAAAACATCATTGTCTTTAATCTGTATTACGCTATTCCTGAACGATTTAGCGTGTTTTCGATCCAGAAACTCTTAAATTGAAATATTTCAAACATTTTTGAGCAATTTAGTACGTTTTTGTAGTCAAAAACTTATTTAAATCGACGAATTTTGCCGCAACAAGGCAAAAAATTATCGTTTTCAATTCGAATTTGAATATTTCAAACTCTTTTGGGCCAAAAACTCTCTTAAATAAATTGACGAATTTTGGCGAAACAAATCCAAAAATCGTTGTTTTAAATCAGAATTACGCTATTTCTGACCAGAAATTTTGCAAATTTTTGGAAAAAAAAGTCTAAAGTTGTGAATTTTTTCGAAATAATGCAAAAAATCATTATTTTAAATCCAAATTACGCTAATTCAGCTCTTTATGAGCTAAAAACTCTCTTAAATTGACGAATTTTACCGAAACAAGTCCAAACATCGTCGATTTAAATTTAAATTACGCAATTTTTGAACGATTTGGCATGTTTTTGAGCCAGAAACTCTCCTAAATTGTTAGATTTTCGGGAAAAAGCCCAAAAAATTGTCGTTTTTAATCCATACTATGCTATTTCTAAGCGATTTAGCACCTTTTTTAAGCCCGAAACTTAGTTAAATCGTCGAATTTTGATGAAACAAACCAAAAAATTGCCGCTTCATATTTAAATTAAGTTATTTCGGCCATTTATTAGCACATTTTTGAGTGAAAATTTTTTAAATTGATTAATTTTACCGAAAAAAAGTCTTTTTAAATTTGAGTTACGTTATGAACAAATTAACATGTTTTTTAACCCTAAATTCTTTTATTTTAAATTGATAGATTTTACGGAAACACGCTGAAAATTGCGCATTTTGCTATTTCAGCAATTTCTGATGAGCGATTTAACAGTGCCAAAAATCTACTTAAATCGATGAATATTGCCGAAACAAGCCAAAAAATCGTCGTTTTTTTTAAATCTTAATTTCAACGATTTAGCAAGTTTTTGAACCAAAAATTGACGAATTTTACTGAAACAAGCAAAAACATTATCGTTTTTAATCTGCATTACGCTATTTCTGAACGGTTTAGCATGTTTTTAAGCCAGAAACTTTAGAAAATTTGTGAATTTTTATGAAAAAACGACGTTGACGTTTCCTATTTCAGCTTTTTAAGGGTTTTATGAGCCAGAAACTGTTTTAGATTGACGAATTTTGCCGAAACAAAGCCAAAAATCGTGGTTTAAAATCTAAATAAGGCTATTTCCGGAAAATTTAGCACGTTTTTTGGGCCGAAATTGTCGTTTTAAATTTAAATTAGGCTATTTTTGAACGACTTAGCAAGTTTTTGAGTTAGAAATTTTCTTAAATCGCCGAATTTAATGAATAATTTATGGATTTATGAACAATTTAAAAGCCAAAAATTGTCTTAAATTGCCCAAAAATTGTTGTTTTAAATCTGAATTACGCTATTTCTGAACGACTTAGCAAGTTTTTGAGACAAAAAATGGTCATTTTACTCATCTATTTGCCTATTTGCGACCGATTTAGTACGTTTTTGAGCCAGAAACTTGCTTAAATTGACGATTTGTGCCGAAACATGAGAAAAAATTGTCGTTTTAAAAAAAATTATTGAGCGATTTAGAACATTTTTTGGACTACAATAAACTTGTGTAGGTGGACGGATTTTGGGTAACCTTGTTTTTATTATTATTACAAGTAACCAGATCATTAAGTTTTTCAACTAATGGTTTTAGTGGAACACTTAATTTGCATTTTCTGAAATTCGAATTGAAGAAATTTTTTTACATAGAAAATTACTAAATGTAAAGTTTCAAAGATGAAATAAAAAACTTGTCTGAAGTAACCAAAAACTGATTTTGGTTTTGAGAAGAACTTTTCCTTACCTATTATTGTGGGAGTTTGCACCGAATCCCAATTCCCATGCCCCAAACAACCTTGTTGTCCTTCCCCACAACTAAATAAAAACCCTTCGGTATTAAGAAAAATACTAAAATTGCGTCCAGCAGCACATCTGAAACCAAATCCTTACTCTACAACCCCTTTAGTGTTCCAAAACAACAACCGAATAATTTTCTCATGCTGCAAAGACTTCACTATCGTGGCAAAAGCCCGTTTTTGGGCCCCACTGTCTATCCCCAGCTGTCCAAAATCATTTTCACCCCACGTATACACACAATGGTCGACAGTGACAACAATATAATGACCAAAACCGATCGAAAAATCGATAATTGTTTTGTGGGGTAATTCTTCGGGAATTATTTCTTGATCATCGCCGAAATTGGTGATTTTGTAGAGAATCGAGCGTTCTCGTGAAACGCTAAAGTTTTAGTAAAAACTGTATTTTTTTTAAATCAATTCTTACCCTACTTTGAACGTAGTAGTGGAGTCGAATTTTTTCACTGTTTTTGGTATAACATTATCGTGGATATACTTCGCTGAAGGCCTCGCACTTGGGTCTTTTTGGAGGATAGAGTGCACGAGTTGTGACAGCTCATCTGAATAAATTTCAAGAATTTCGGAATATTCGCACTGAAAAATATTCAATTTTTTCACGGTTTTAACCACTAGGGGGGTTTACAGCAGTGATTTTTTGCACAAGGACTGGTAGTGTCATGGCTTCGAACGGTTTCCTCAAACATGCAAGTTCGTAGAGAATACACCCGATGGCCCAAATATCAGATTTTTCGTTATAATCGGACCCCTCGCACTTGAAATATCAGTTTATTTTTGAGTAATTCCATCACTTTTTAAAACTCAATGTTTCTGATTTTCGTAAATTTGATATACCAGGTGAATAAAAAATATGGAACCAAACGTTTTTTGCTTAAACTATTTATTTTTTGAAAAAACTAATTGATGAGTGATAAAGTACTATAAAAATGTGAAGATTTAACAAGAATAAAATTTTTCGAAATTTCCTTTAAATGGCAACCCACTATAAAATCATTTTTCTCATAAAAGCTATACTCTAAGGATTACAACTATCTGCTTTATACTTAATTTTTTCAAAAAAAAATTTTCACATAAATTGCAATTTTAACAAAAAAAATCGCATAACTCAAAAACAAAACAAAATTTCGTTCTGAAAATACGATCACAGTTTTTATATTACATTAATTTATATTAATTATTTTTTTCTGGGGCCAAATAATAAAAAATAAAACCGCTTGGTTCCATACTTTATATTCACCCTGTATGTATGTTATAGAACGTGTAAAAAAAAGTGAAATTAGTAATATTTTACCATTTTTTATTTTTTCAATGTATGTTGAAAAAACAGAAAAAGAATTTTTATCCAAAGAAGAAATCAACATATTGAAACGATTTTTTTTTTAATATTATATATAAGTAGCTACACTACCGACGTAATAATACATGTGTTCTAAAAATTTGTTATTAACAAATAATTTAAAAATATATTGTTTAAACAAAAAAATAAAGAATTACTACAAAGAATTTATGTAAAAACTTTTATACTTTTACTATATCTTCACATACGTTTCAAGATGGACATTTTAAAAATGTTTTTGATACAGAAACTCTCTTAAATAAAAACATTTGAACCATTTTTGAGCGATTTAGTACGTTTTTGTAGCCAAAAACTCTATTAAATTGACGAATTTTCCCGATAAAGGCCAAACATTCTTGTTTAAAATTTAAACTACGCTATTTCTAAACGATCTGACATGTTTTTGAGTCAGAAACTCTGTTAAATTGCTAGATTTTGGGAAAAAAGCCAAAAATTGGCGTCTTTAATCCGTACTTTGCTATTTCTAAGCGATTTGGCACGTTTTTTAAGCCAAAAACTTAGTTGAATCGTGGAATTTTGATGAAACAAACCAAAAAATTGCCGCTTCATATTTGAATTAAGCTATTTCTGCCATTTATGGGCACGTTTTTGAGTCAAAAACTCTTAAATCGACTAATTTTACGAAACAAGGAAAAAATCGACTTTTTAAATTTGAGTTACGTTATTTTTGAACAATTTAACATGTTTTTGAACCCAAAACTTTTTTAAATTGATAGATTTTGTGGAAACAAGCTGAAAATTGCTCATTATGCTATTTCAGCAATTTCTGAGCGATTTAACAGTGCCATAAACTTACTTAAATCGACGAATATTGCCGAAACAAGGCAAAAAAATCGTCGTTTTAAATTTAAATTTGAATGATTTAACGAGTTTCTGATCCAAAAAGTCTTAAATTGACGAATTTTACTGTAACAAGGAAAAACTTCACTGTTTTAAATCTGCATTACGCTATTTGTGGTTTTCGTAAATTTGAGATATGTTATAGAACGTGTAAAAATAAGTGACGTATTTTACCGTTTTTTATTTTTACAATGTATGTTGAAAAAACATGGATGTACAAAATTAAGTACCTCGTAACAAAAAGAATTTTTATCTAAAGAACAAATCAACATATTGAAACATTTTTTTTAATAATAGATATAAGTAGTTACACTACGGACGTAATAATACATGTATTCTAAAAAATTGTTATTAACAAATAACTTAAAAATATGTTGTTTAAACAAAAAATAAACAATTCGCAGGTTTTTAAAATTCTCAAAAAATTTATGTAAAAACTTTCATATTTTTACTATGTTTTCACATAAGTTTCAAGACGGACGTTTTAAAAATGGCTGAAAAAAAATTTTTTTTGAGTAGCGTTTCCTTGGAAATTAAATAGAAAAATTACCAATTACCGTCACTAATAAACTGTTCTAAAGAAAACACATAATTTTCAATAACTTATTAACATTTATTTTTCAAAAAATATCAATAATAAAAAACAAATTCTTCGGTTGAGGAAGAGTACTCTCTATATTTTTTTATTCTATTTTCTGATATTAGAATAAAAGTATGTAGATTTCGCGTACCTTTTCTGAGCTTCGCTCGACTAAAACGATCATTTAAAAAATCGCAAAGTCTTTCAACTTGTCGATTAGATATACAGAGTGTATCAAAAGTCCCGGACCATGGAGCATGGAAAAAATGTAAAAAAAATCTATCTATAAATATTTCGAAGTTATGAGAGTTTAAATTTTGCACTTTGACTATATTTGTTTCTTGTAGAACTTGATCCATTTTCTTCCCAAAGTGGATGTTTTATAGTTTTAAACAGTAAGTAATATTAAAGTCAACTCCACAAATCGATAATTTTTAAATCCTGTGATAATCAGGAAAAATTTTTAAGAGTGAACATTTAAATTTTTTAATCTCGTAAATTTTTTATTTTTTATTTTAAAGTGTAACAATTTTCAATGACTGATGATGGCGCAAGGGTGTCGAAACATGTCCCAACTTGACTAAATAAAATTTATCGATTTGTGGAGTTGACTTTAATATTACTTACAGTTTAAAAATATATTTGTGTCTGTTGGAAAAATAATTTTCCATGTTTTTTTTTGCACAGGCTATTAGAAGAGGAAACAAAACAACTCTAAATTGTAACTCTGTCCAATGTTATTTGTGTCAAAATTATTGTACCTTTATTAAATAATTATAAAAAAACATATAAGATCATAAATATCATTTAATAGACATAAAAAATGTCAAATTTCAAAAAATAAATTTGTATTTTTTTTTGACAGATTGAATTTTTTAACATTTTTTTCATGGTCCTGGTATCTTACCTTACATGCCATGTCACGTTGGTCCGGGAATTTTGTCACACCCTGTAGCAAAACATAATATGTGAAATATGTGTGAAATATTTACTCAATCGAAGAATTTGTTTTTATTATTGATATTTTTTGAAAAATAAATGTTAATAAGTTATTGGAAATAATGTGTTTTATTTAGAACTGTTTATTAGTGACGGTAATTGGTAATTTATCTATTTAAACTTTCAGGCGATCTTAGGCTGAAAAAAAATTTTTTTTCAATCATTTTTAAAACGTCCGTCTTGAAACTTATGTGAAGTCATAGTAAAAATGTGAGAGTTTTTACATATTTTTTTGAGTATTTTAAAAATTAATTGTTTATTTTTTTGTTTAAATAATATATTTTTAAGTTTTTTTTTAGAATACATGTATTATTACGTCAGTAGTGAAGCTACTTATATCTATTATTAAAAAAAACCGTTTCAATATGTTGATTTGTTCTTTAGATAAAAATTCTTTTTGTTACAAGGTACTTAATTTTGTACATTTCAACATACATTGAAAAAATAAAAAACGGTGAAATACGTGTCACTTATTTTTACACATATCTCAAATTTACGAAAATCAGAAACAATGAGTTTTAAAAGTGATGGAATTACTCTTTTGTAAAACTTACCATTTCAGGACTGAGATAGTAAGGGGTACCAACTACAGTCTGCGCTTGTGATCTAGTATTCAACATTTTAGAAATCCCAAAATCACCAACTTTGACATTCCCATTCATGTTTAAAAAAATATTCGCGGATTTCAAATCCCTGTGTAGGATTTTATTCATATGCATGTAGCTGATGGCAGCACTGATTTGTGAAACAATATTCAAGATGCTTTTCTCGGTGAAAATCTCATTTTTATTTTTCTTTGCGTTGATGAGTTGGGCTAAGTTGCCCCCATCTGCATATTCCATGGCAATTATCAAAGAGCCTTCCTTTTGGAAACTTCCAAGATACTTGATAATGTTGGGGTGGTTCAAGTTTGATAAAATTTCAACTTCGTTCAAAGCCGATTTTTTTTCAGAATTGTCCAAATCCATGAGAAAAACTTCTTTCATTACGACCTGTTTTCCGTCGTCTATTCGGCGATATAATGTCGCGGTACCAAAAGCTCCTACGAATTATGATGTAAAGCGAGCATAATGTTTTATTTACAGTACCTTGACCTACAGTTTTCAATTTTTCGTAATCTTCGTAAAACTTGTTGCTGTTCATTTTTGCGTGATTCGGAGGTATAAATCGGTAATTTTGTGTACATTAGTGCATGCCATGGAAACAATTATGGATCGTGATAGATTTTGTGAATAATTGATTGAGCGAGAGAATTAAACAGAGACATAGAGCTTTTATGTTTACTTTTATACCGATTTGTAAACAATTTTTTGTAAATTTGAAAGTTTTTTGTTTAAAATCAACAACTTTTCAAATTAGGAACAATCTGAAGCAAAATAACGTTTAGGGACTTTGAGTTTGGGTATAGGTAGTTTTTAAAAGAAAGACAAAGTAATAATTAATAATATTATGTTAATGATAATATAGTAATTACAGTTACAGATTCGTCAATAGTATATTACAATCGAGGTGGAAAATAGGCACCTAAATGTCAATATTTAATTTACAATCACATTTTGTTTCAGTAAAAAAATATTAATTTTTCTGTCAATGATGTCAAAGTTAGAAGAGAAAATTGAGTTTTTGACGTTTGCTGTGTTCATAAACCTTGAGAATCATAGTTAAATTACTTCCCAACCAAGGGAAATAATGTTATATTTCCATTTCCAGATCTTCAAGCTGGTTAGGAATCAACATTTTAAAGTGATTGTTTAAAAAATACATATAATAAAAAGTATTGATACGAAAATGAAATTATATTAAGTCATGTGTATGAAGAATTTTGACAGTGTAGGTAAACGTTAACGAAACATCGAAAAGTAGGTAGAAATTGAAGAAAATTACAACCTCCGGAGAAGTTCTTACTTTCATATTAAATGGAAAATTATGACAAATTATGTTAGCTATAAAAGATTTTCGTATTTGAGAAAAGAAAACATTTGTTTGTCTCACAAAGTATAATATGCTTTTAAAAGCTATTACTACAGTTAAAAGTAAAAGTTACTAGAAGTTATTTTTGTAAATGCTGCTAAAAATGGTTATTTTAGGTAGGTTTTTATTTTCAGTTAAGTACCATTTTCAGAAATTAATCACACGTAATTAGAGGTTTGAATGTGATTTTGGTAGCTTTAACAAAAAAGATGTTTGTAATACGTCTAAAAAGTTTTTGCGGGCTCATCTGTTGTTTCAGACTCGGCTTCGCCTCGTCCGGAAACAGCACTGATTCTAGGGTATTTTAAGTAAATATTTGAAACAAAAATAACTATTTTTATGATAACGAAGAAGTTCCTGAATCAACACTGACTGTGACACGACTTATAAAATACAATACAATTTATTTAATATTTAGATATGTATTCAAAATTTATTTTTTGTAGTAGACTTAAAATCTTGAAGTGTAGGTCTTATTTATGGTCCTATTTTTTGTGCATTTCATCTACGAGAAGTTATGTTATCTTTTATGACTTTAAAAAAATACATTACAATTACCTAAATATAAACTATTAAAAAAATAGACAAAACTGTTACTTTTTTGGCGTTTGCTGTGCCTCATAAGTATCATTTTAAATTTTTACCCATAACCCATTTAATACATATGATCTACTATTATTCCAACCTACTATCTGCCATAATTATTTTATTCTTAAATTGAACAAACCTGATTTGGTTTAAAATATAACATAATTCACTTATTTTTTGCACATCTAAAACAGTTTAAAACACAATTTATTTAATAGTAAATATGTATTCAAGATTTTATTTTCTAGTAGAAATAAAACCCTGAAGTGTAGGTTTTATTTCTTGTCCATTTTAACTACAGAAAGCGAGAGGTTATGTTATTTATTGGTTTTGACGTTTGTGTTTGAAGTTTTGCCGGTATTTGTCAGTTTTACGTTCAAAAAGCTGAAAATGAATCTAAACGACGATTTTATAAGTATCCAAGGGATAGTCCTTAGCGCTGAAAAAAACGCAGGGTCACTCAAGAGAATCAAATACCGAGGAGGTAAAATCTCTGGTCTTTTTATTGTTTTTCTAGGTTTTTTTTAGGTAATGAATCTATAATTTTGAATATGATATCAGAATTTCATAAGTTTTTCTCCTCAAAAAACTACATGAAAGACAACAAAATTAACGAAGTCTTTGAAAAACAGCTAACTGAAATCTGTGTGTTTCTTATTCTCAATACTGAATTGCAACGACCTGTTGAAGACTCAGAATTTCAACATTTAATTAATATAGTGCCTCAATTATCACCCTGTTTGTTAGCAAATGTGATAATGGGACTAGATCTAAATAAATATTTCTGCAAAGCACTGTTGAGATTCGATTTGGATGTTATTGAGGAACTCTTGGTTGAAATAATTCCGTGTTTGAAGAAATGTAAACCAAAAATTCACATTCAAACAGCCCAGGAGTACCTGAAATTGATAATTGTGAAACTGTCTTTGAAAAATGAAGCGGTAGTTTTGAAATTAAATTATTACACTTTTGTTGTTATTGGGTGTTTCAGTGGTCTGAAAACTGTGAAAAATTGTGCGATTCAGCCTCACAAATACTACTGAATTTAACAGGCCTTCATGGTGACCAACTCCAAAACATAAAACTCGACTCAGTCTACCAATGTATGGGGTTCACAATTCTCAATCTGCTCGATTTATTATTAATGTGTGAGGAGAAAAACAAAGCTTTAACACCTCTCATCGAAAAACTTACTAAAACTTGTTGCTCCATCATGATGGCGGTGACTCTCGACGTGTTTTGTTCATGGGCTGAGGTGCATACACAATTTTTTCTCCCCCAAATTACACAGCGTTTCAGGTTGAGTACGAAGGGGAGCCTCTTCAGACTTCAATCGCTGGCAAAAGTTACCTATTTATAAACAAATACCAGAAAAACCCACTCGCCAAAGAACTGATCGCTATGTTGGGCACCATAGCCCAAAAACCCAAAACCATAGACGACCTGATCCTCCAAGCCGATGTCCCCACAATAATATCAAAGATAAATCAAGTCGACTCTAGCCAAAAACAGTGGTTTAGGGCCCTCCTCAACACCCAGGTTTTAAAATGCGAGAAAAGTATTAAATGTGTTGAGCAATGGGCACATTTGTGCACTGTTAGCGATGTCACACTGTTACTTGACATGGGGGTGCTTAGTAAAGACCCCCGGGCCAAAAAAGTGGTCATTCAGTGTGCCTCAACACTTGAACTAAACGACTTGATTTTAGTTTCGACGCGACATTTTCACAAAAACGGAATTGTGAGCAATTTTAGGGAAGATTTGCGTCAGGATTTGGTGTTGTTCTTCAATAAAATTAAAGATGGGGAGGTTTTTTCGAAAGAATTGCATTTACTACTCTTGCAAAATCCGGAACAAACACTGAGTTGGGTGTTTTCTGAGTGCTTGAAAAACACTTTTTATTCAGAGAATTTGATAGATGTTTGGCCTTGCCTCAAAGAGGTTTTAACAATTGGTGATTTTGGGTTAAATATTTTAAAGAAAGAAATCAGTGGTAATTTTCCCACTGACCAGACTTGGAAAAATCATTCAGAGCTACTGAATGCACTAATAAGGGCTGAAATTTTCTCAACTGAAAAAATTGTCACTGGGGTGCTTTTGCCCTTACTACAAAGCGCCCACAAGGAAGCCAACTACCAACTTTTGAAAAATGGTTTAATCGTCTTAAAAGTATTAATTATTGTGATGGTTTTGTAAATATTTTGTTGTTATTTGTAGGATTTGCAAGGACACATTTTCGTCAAGCAGGAAAACGAGTCCTTTTTCCAATTTATTTTTGACGTTATGAAAAGTTGCAGATGCAATTTTTTGAACTTTGATAGTTTGAAACAAGAAATAGTGAGGCAAACGGTCGATGTTATTGAAAAGTGGTGTGATGTGCGTCATGTTGTTCAACTTGACAGCTGTGAAGATTTTTTTGTTTCGTTTTACTACAAGAAAATCTTTGAATCAGATTCCGATGTATTAAAATATTTTTTCCCAATTAACTTTAAAAATCACGCAGAAATCGTTGCTCATCTTACAAAGGTGCATAAAAAACAGATACTTTTAAAAAACAAAGTGTCAATGCCTTATTTTAGTGAGAATTTTACAAATCATTTGACGTTTTATTTCATAGAAATATGAAAATTTTAAATTTAACATTTTTAAACATCAACTGACAGTTAATATCAATTTTTGTTGTTGCAGGTTGCCTGTCACTAATAATACATTGACAGTATGTTTTTTAAAAGTATTAAAAATTAAGTATTGATAGTTTTCTGAAATTAAAAAAAAACATACTTTTAAAAAGTAAAGTGTTAATGCCTTATTTTAGTGAGAAAATAAGTGTTAATGGGGGGCTCGCGGCATAGCCGCTTGCCCCCGTGACAAACTCACACTATCGCAAATTTTACAAATCATTTGACGTTTTATTTCATAGAAACATGAAAATTTTAAATTTGATATTTTTAAACATCAACTGACAGTTAATGTCAATTTTTTTGTTGCAGGTTGCCTGTCACTAATAATGCATTGACAATATATTTTTTAAAAGTATCAAAAATTAAATGTTGATAGTTTTTTGAAATTAAAAAAAAACATAATTTTAAAAAGCAAAGTGTCAATGGCTTATTTTAGTGAGAAAATAAATGTTAATGAAACTCACACTATTACATTTGCAAAGTTTACAAATCATTTGGCGTTTTATTTCATAAAAACATGCAAATTTTAAATTTGGCATTTTTAAACATCAGCTGGCAGTTAATGTCAATTTGTTATGCTGCAGGTTGCCTGTCACTAATAATACATTGACAGTATGTTTTTTAAAAGTATCAAAAATTAAGTATCGGTAGTTTTTGAAATTAAAAAAAAAAACATACTTTTAAAAAGCAAAGTGTCAATACTTTATTTTAGTGTGAAAATACATGTTAATGGGCGGTTCGCGGCATAGCCGCTCGCCCCCACACTGTCGCAAATTTTTTACAAATCATTTGACGTTTTATTTCATAGAAACATGAAAATTTGTAACTATTTAATGTTATTGGTGGCTTTTATTGACAAAATTTTTGTACCTTTACCAATTATAAAAAAAAAACATATACAAGATCATCAGTATCATTAAATAAAGATTAAAAAATGTCAAATGTCAAAATTCTTTGACAGATAAATTTTGTAAGCATTTTTTCCATGTTTCTGGTATCTTGACTTACTTGAATTTTTTCTCTGGGGCGCATCTGACACCTGTATATGAAAATTTCAATTTTATAGTTTGAAATATGACAATTTGTTTTCTTGTGGGTTGTTTGCTAATGCATTGACAACTTCTTTTTTAAAAGTATCAAAAATTAAACTTGATACAACTGAAATGATAGTTTCGCTGAAGTGTTCAATTTTTTTTAGATTTTGCCCTTGTGTGTGACTCCGGAATGGCTTCTTATTTCACGAAGTTTAGTAGATTTGTGTGGAATAGAGAAGAGTGTGGAATTATTATGTGACGTTATAATCCTCCTATGTGAAGTAACAAACAGTCAAAAAACAAAAACTGAAGAAACGAAAAGAATGTTAAGTGCTTTAAAATATTATCTTCAGAACATCGGACTTGTGGTTAAAGAATGTGTCCAACCGAAAGTGATCAACGTTTCTGAAGATGTCTCAATAACGAAAAATATTTGTCGCATGTTGAAACAAATCCCAGGAGAGTTAAAAAGTGAAGAAGGAGTCTCCTTAGCAAGTCTCTTATCATCATCATCATTGAAATCTCTAAAACCCGATAAAAAATTTGCTTGTTTGGTCGCGTCCATCAACGAGCCCCATATTTGTAAAATGTTATCACAAAAAATCCTGAGTTAATTTTTATTAAAAATAATTTCATACAACAGTGTTTTAAGCACTTCCAGCAATAGCAACAACGGTGCGAATACTAAAAATCAAATAGTTAAATTAAAAAAATTAAACACGTGAAAAGTCTCACCTTTCCCCTTTGTGCATGAGATGGAAAGCTTCATTAATTTCACTCAATTTCAAATTGTGAGTGATAAATTTATCAAGTGGCATGATTTGAGGCTTGTGACAATACTCCTCAACTAATTTAGGGACACTATCGCGACTTTTCCACCCCCCGAAAGCCGTCCCTTTCCACACGCGCCCTGTCACCAACTGAAAGGGTCTTGTGTTGATTTCCTGCCCCGCCCCAGCCACCCCCACAATCGTGGAAACCCCCCAACCCTTGTGACACGACTCCAAAGCAGCCCTCATAGTTTGAACGTTCCCAACGCATTCGAAAGTGAAATCGAGCCCCCCGTCTGTCTTCTCAACCAAAACCTCCTGGATTGGCTTTTCGTAGTCTTTGGGGTTCACGAAATCGGTGAAACCGAACTCTTTGGCTACGAATTTAAATTTTAATAATTTAATAATAATTCACTTTTTTACCTATTTTAAATTTGTCGGGGTTGACGTCAACTCCTATGATTTTCGACGCTCCAGCCGCCTTGCAGCCAATCCCGACTGCAAGCCCCACAGCCCCCAGCCCCCACACTGCACAGGTGCTCCCTTTCTCGACTTGGGCGGTGTTTAGGGCTGCGCCATAGCCAGTGGGGACGCCACATCCCAGTAGACAAATCTTGTCAAGGGGGGCATTGGGGTTCACCTAATCACAAATTGATAAGAGTGACCTTCACTTATCACCACTTACTTTCGCAACAGAGATGTCGGCAACAACAGTGTACTCGCTGAAAGTGGAGCACCCCATGAAATGGTACAATTTTTTACCATTGCACGTGAATCGGGATGTACCATCGGGCATGACCCCTTGGCCCTGGGTCACCCGGCTTTTTTGGCACAAATTGGTCTTGGGGGACTTGCAGAATTTGCATTCGCCACATTGGGGAACGTATAGGGGAATAACATGATCACCTTAATTATTATTAAAATTAGTGAAATTACTTGATTTGTTTATTACCTGGTTGAACATTTGTGACTCCCTCCCCTACACTTTCCACAATTCCGCCCCCCTCGTGGCCTAAGACAACTGGGAATAGCCCCTCTGGGTCTTGGCCACTGAGGGTGTAAGCATCAGTGTGGCAAACCGCACTGTAGAGGATTTTAATTCGCACTTCGTGGCTCTTAGGAGGGGCCACTTCAATGGTTTCCAGTTTGAGGTTCTCTCGGGGGCCCCATGCGACTGCAGCTTTGCAGGTTATGGGCTAAAAAGTTTACACAATTAACATGAGAATAAGTTTGACGAAAATTACCTTTCCGGTGGTGGACATGATGGAAAATTACTAGAAAAAATATGGTTTCAATACTTCAACTTTGGCCCCTGACTCTGTAATAATAAAAAACTGACCTTGTGTGTTGTTTAATGGTGGGTTTCTGTGATTGGTTCTTTAATTGTTGAGGGATAGAGAAAGAGATAGACTTTGAGATGGTTTGAAAAGAAATAAATAGATTGTGTTTTGAGCGGGCATTTGAAACTCGAGAATATGTTAAAACCAAAAGTGAAGCATTTCTTTCTATGAAATAAGAAAATGAACACACATAATAGTCTCTAAATTTTCCTAGACACTATTTTTAAATTAAATCAGAAACCAGACCTGCCAACTTCTTTTATTAAAATTACCATGAATGGATTAGCTAGTGGTGCCAACATTAAAACTGTTTGACATTTCCGTTAAAAAAAAACAAATTTTACCTATTAAATGTTAATTGTTGCTTCTTTATTGTGTTCTCATTAGCTTTTTCTATTCATTCTATTCACCAAAGTGTACACTTGAGTGCAAAAAAAACGCGAATTAATTTTTTTATAATGTAATTTTGCATGTTAATAAATGCCAGTTTTTTAACGTTGGCTTCTTCTAAACTTCTATCAAATTTTTCCATGTTTTTCCATTTCGTTTTGACACTGCACTAGCAACACCACCAAATACGACATTTCTTTTCCTAGTTTTCTAACCTTTTTGCGAACAATCTTTTTCACACTAGGTAAATCTCTGAAAAATTTGACAATTCGATAATTCGATAATCGATTAACATAAAATGTAAAACGAGCCTTTGGCAACTAACCCCACTTTCGATTTTTGTAATTTTTATCCTGATAGCTAGAGAGAAAATGACAAAGATCAAAATAATTTATTGAACTTATATAAAAACACGTATTATTGTTCGAAAACTCGACGCCAAAAATAAATTTCAACTAAAATTTTCAAATTTTAGTTCCAAATGTCAATCATAATGACAATAAAGCGTTCAAAACATTTTTTGAACTGACATAAATTTAATGTCCAAAATTCCATGTCCGCCACTGTATGATCTACTATTATTCCAACCTACTATCTGTCATAATTATTTTATTCTTAAATTGAATAAAACATTGACATACATTGACAGTTTTTGAACTGACATAAATTTGATGTCCTAAATTCCCTGTCCGCTACTGTACATTTTAAAGTAAAAACTCGAACTTGGCTTGGAACTACTTTTTAACGCGCAATGTCTAGTAACTTTTATTTCAACAATTTTATGATTTAAAATTAAGTTGGCAACATCGAATTATTGGCGATATTATTACATTGTTAAGTAATGGCCATGTTAGCAGCCGTTTTTCGGAAACAGATGATGACAATTAACTATAAAAAAACGTGACGTTTGATTTTGATATGTTGCCAATTTAATTTTCAGTCAGGATACTTCGATTTGAAATTTCTAAAAACGAGACACTTAGTTGTAGTAAAATTGATCAATAATTTTGAAAAAATTAAAACAAAATTGCCATTTGGTTACTTTTAGAAGAAAAATAAAGTTCTAATGATTATTATAATTTAAAGTTGAGAATTGTTAGATTTTCCCGGCGCCACCACCAAATTTTAAAACTAAGTAAAACAGTAAAAATCTTGCTTTTCTTTCAAAAATAATTATTTTATATATAATTTATCTACAAGAATATAAGATCACATCTGACGGCAATTCTAAGCATTATGATATCAATTTTCCAACTATTTGTTAATATCTAGAGAAGTGTCTTTCAAAATAGTCGGCAAGGAGATATAACACATAGTATCTTTCCTGTCGTCAATCCTAGAATAAAAGAAATTATTATAAAACACAATTATTGTCGTATCAACAAGAAATTACTGCATATTCGTCATAAATTTGTTTAGGTTAGTTTTTGGTGACAAACAAAAGATATCGTAACCAGTGTCAAAATTTAGGTTAAGTCAAATGTCAGCTTGTATAGATAATTCAATAGATTGTTGACAGTAGGTTACTTCAACAACATGAAAAACGTAATTTTCCTAAATAGTTACAATTCCTAGGTGGTAATTTCTTGTTGACAAATCTGTATAGCAATACTAACTTATTAACTGTTACGTTCAAATCATCAATAGTTTCTGGTAGTGGCATTCCTTTAGTTTCTGGCAAAAGCAGAATAAGAAATGTTTCCAAAATTGCTCCTACACCCAAAACAATAAGAGGTAAAGAGGGTGATATATCCTGCATACTGATAACTAAGGGAGAAATCATAGAACCCATCCTTGAAAACATAACCGACGTTCCAACTCCCGCATTTCTTACAGTAGTTGGAAACAACTCTCCGGTAAACAAATACAACGCAGGCATTGAAATCTGGAAAAAAATTAAATTTTCCCAAAAGAATAGTATATTATGTTATTAGGAGGAAAAAAGATGTTTTTTTTTATTCTGACTGGTGAGATTTTTGAAAGTGTTTATTAATTTAACTAGTGCAGTTAGTAGTAAAAAAGTTGGAATGCTGATTGGTAAATTGGTAATTGGTAAGTATCAAAATGTCATGGTAAAATTAAAAACGCTTACGCGCAAAAATAGAATTTAAAAAAACTGAAAATTTTCCAAAAGAATAGTATATTATGTTATTAGGAGGAAAAAAGATGTTTTTTTTTAATTCTGACTTTTGAAAGTGTTTATTAATTTAACTAGAGCAGTTATTAATAAAAAATGTGGAATGCTAATGATTTAGAATGTATCTCTCCAGAAATTGCTATTGGTAATTGGTATATGTCAAACTGCCATGGTAAAATTTAAAAAAAAAACGCACAAGCGCAAAAAAATGAATTTAAAAAAAATTGAAATTTTTCCAAACGAATATTATGTTATTAGGAGAAAAAAAGATATTTTTTTTAATTCTGATTTTTGAAAGCGTTTATTAATTTAACTAGTGCAGTTAGTAGTAAAAAATGTCGAATGCTGATAATCTAGAATGTATCTCTCCATAAATTGCTATTGGTAATTGGTAAATCTCAAAATGCCATGGTAAAATTTAAAAAAAAACGCTTAAGCGCAAAAATAGAATTTAAAAAAATTGAAATTTTCCCAAAAGAATATTATGTTATTAGGAGGAAAAAGATGTTTTTTTTTCAATTCTGACTTTTGAAAGTGTATTAATTTAACTAGTGCAGTTAGTAGTAAAAATTGTCGAATGCTGATGATCTAGAATGTATCTCTCCAGAAATTGCTATTGGTAATTGGTAAATGTCAAAATGCCATGGTAAAATTTAAAAAAAAAACGCTTAAGCGCAAAAATAGAATTGAAAAAAATTGAAATTTTCCCAAAAGAATATTATGTTATTAGGAGGAAAAAAGATGTTTCTTTTTAATTCTGATTTTTGAATGTGTTTATTAATTTAACTAGTGCAGTTAGTAGTAAAAATTGTCGAATTCTGATGATCTATAAGATCTATCCAGAAATTTCTATTGGTAATTGATAAATGTCAAATGCCATGGTAAAATTAAAAAAAAACGCTTAAGCGCAAAAATAGAATTGAAAAAAATTGAAATTTTCCTAAAAGACTAGTATCGTATGTTATTAGGAGGAAAAACGACTTGTGCAGTTAGTAGTAAAAATGTCGAATGCTGATGATCTATAAGATCTCTCCAGAAATTGCTATTGGTAATTGGTAAATGTCAAAAGCCATGGTATGATTTAAAAAAAAACGCTCAAGCGCAAAAATTGATTTTAAAAAAATTGAAATTTTCCTAAAAGACTAGTATCTTATGTTATTAGGAGGAAAAACGATGTTTTTTTTAATTGTGAATTTTGAAAGTGTTATTAATTTAACTTGTGCAGTTAGTAGTAAAAATGTCGAATGCTGATGATCTATAAGATCTCTCCAGAAATTGCTATTGGTAATTGATAAATGTCAAAATGCCATGGTAAAATTTAAAAAAAAACGCTCAAGCGCAAAAATAGAATTTAAACAAATTGAAATTTTCCCAAAAAAATAATATGTTATTAGAAGGAAAAAAGATGTTTTTCTTTAATTCTCATTTTTGAAAGTGTTTATTAATTTAAATAGTGCAGTTAGTAGTAACAAATGTCGAATGCTGATAATCTAGAATGTATCTCCCCAGAAATTGCTATTGGTAATTGGTAAATGTCAAAATGTCATGGTAAAATTAAAAAAAAAAACGCCTAAGCGCAAAAATAGAATTTAAAAAATTTAAATTTTCCCAAAAGAATATTATGTTGTTAGGAGAAAAAAAAAAGTTTTTTTTAATTCTGACTTTTGAAAGTGTTTATTAATTTAACTAGTGCAGTTAGTAGTAAAGAATGTCGAATGCTGATGATCTAGAATGTATCTCTCCAGAAATTGCTATTGGTAATTGGTAAATGTCAAAATGCCATGGTAAAATTTAAAAAAAAAAC